CCTTACGCCGGATCGATGATCTGCCAACTAGTATTGCAACCTCAGCTATATCCGCCGCCGGCCTGACAGCCGGCCGGACTCGGCGCCGCCTTTGTCGTCGGCTTCGACGCGATGAGTCATCACCGCCGGCGGCGGCGTCCCGAGCATGTCGTCGACCTCGGCGGCGCGAGAGGAGCGGCGGGTGTGTGGCGCCGGCCCGCCGGGCCGCCGCCACTTCCATTACGCGACAACGAGCGGCGCGTGCCGCTGCTTGCGCAAACAGCGCCCGAGCGGCTCGGCTCGGCGCGGCGGCGCCCGACCGGCCGCGTCCGCCGCCGCCGCCGGCCCGCGCGCCGCTCTTGTTGTCGACAGCAGATCAATAGAATGGTGAATCATAACGCCCGATCGAGAGCGGCCCTCGGGCGACGGCGGGGGCTCGTGAGCGCCGCGTCCAAACAACCACGGCCTCCTCGGCGCCTCTCGACCGGCCGGGCGGCGCGCGCGGTGGCGACGGCCGCGGCGGCAGCGAGAGGGGCGGGGCAGAGCCAGCCGGCGGCGCCGCCTGGCCTGCATCAGCGGGCCGGAAGCGGCCGGCGGCGGCAGCGGCCGGGTCTCTGATCCGTGCCAGAGACGACCCCACACGTGCCGCCGCTGGAGACGCCGCGCCCCGCGCGGCGAGCGATGATGCCGCCGACAGCACGAGGGCAGTCGGAATCGCAGTGTAACGTGCCCCTAATGAAGTCCGCGGACCCGATTGGCTCGCGCCGAATGCAATTTGGGCCGTCGTCGCCGCGGAATGAGATGAGCGTTGCGAGTTAATTAACGCAATTTGGGTCGCGCGGTGCTTATTGCGGGCGCGGATTTACGGCGCGTGCAGCGCGCACGGCTCAGGTGACAGTGTCTGGTGTTGGAAGGGAGGTGAGGTGTGCCGACGGCAGGGCTGAGCCGGTGGTACGGCGGCCCGCTCCGATTGCATTGACTGGTCCGCTGCATGGCTTAGTTTTCTCATCGCGGCCCCAAGTAGGAAATTTGAATGTTGCATGTGTTGATGACCTGTGGCTTGAAGTAGTGGATGAAACAGGCGTTATGCATTGTGCACGTAGAGTAAACAGGAGAACGATTTGTCCAGGCTGTTCCGTTGTCCCGTTGTTGGCATGCAGTTGAGGCCCTGAAAGCTAGTTGCGTCATTTGTCGTATGCATGTATCAGGCAGGCAGCTTTTATTCGGAGGCCACTTTTTTGTAGCACGGGTATTTGCAATACGGTGTTGCTAAGATTACCAAGAGATGTGTTTCGATCTTAATTTGCGTCTTAATGGCCCAAACGCCACATTCAGAACGCAAGCAATGTCCGTGCCAGGTTATTGATGCTTTACGACGCGCTCAGCTGCTGAGACCATATGGCTTCGCCTGCCTCCCATCCTAGCAAGAAGGGCGGGCACCGCAGGGAATCGAACCCTGTATGTTTGGTTTCCCAGCCGAGCAACTTAACCACTTCACCATTGATGCCTCAATGTCTGCAATTCGAAGGCGGTTGCAATTTGAAAGCGTTGGACGAACGCGTCTTCTACACGAACCGGGTCCGAGCCTGCCGTATTTGACGGGCGTTGACAGCGGCCCCCGCGTCGGGCGGAGTCGTGCCGGGCCGGACCGCAGGCGCCGGTTCCGCTCCGGCGGCAGGCGGCGGCGGCGACATGTCACAGCTGGCGGGGTCCGGCCGGCACTGGGCGCCAGATTGAGAACGCCGTGGGGGCGCCGGCGCGACCACCGCTGACTGATCAGCTCCGCGCCCTGCCCGACGGGCGCCACGGCGGCGGCGGCGCCCGCTCACGCCTCGCCGCAGCCCGCCGCCGGCCCGCCGGCCCGGCCGGCCCGGCCGCCCCGTCCGACGGTCGGGGGTGCGGCGGTGCAGCTAATTGGACGCGCTCGTCGATGGCGCCGCCGGATTAATCGGGCCGACGGCCGGCTCCGGCGCCGGCGAGGGTCCGGCCAGCAGGCGCCGACGGGCCGCCGCCGTCGGAGGAGAACCGGCGGCGTCGTTAGCGGCGAGCTCCGGCGGAGAGCAGTCGCGCCGCTGGCCGCTGGACGCTGGGCGCGGTGCGTTGGTCGGGAGTGCGTGCCTCTTGTTCGTCGTAACTGGTAATGCTGCGACGTCAACATCAGAAATGCTCCTTTTCCCAAGGGGTCGACACAGGGGGAGGGAACGAAGGAGCGTTGGAGAGAGACCAGCAGAGAGGGAGGCTGGGACACAGAAGAGAGGTGGGGTTGAAAATATGCCGGGTACAACGATGACAAGCGTGGAAAGGCGTTAATTCACTGATATTTGTGGAAAATATACGACGCAGACGCACGCCAACCAGCATTTCCTGCAGTATAGATTTTACTACCAAACGTCTTGTCAAAGTCCATCTGATGTGTACGAAAACCGAACTAACGATCATCAACGTACGTGCATTATCACATGTCAACGCCTCCTCTCCCAAATCATGACGCGTCCGTTATGTGACCAGGAGGCTGTGTGATCACTGTGTGATCAGGAGCGGCCGCGCCGCTGTCCGCCTCCGGCCATTTTAGCGCGTGATCCTGGCAAGGTCCGGTCGGTCGGTCGTCCGTCGTTGGCGGCTGTCTCCGAAGCCCGTCATGGCGCTGTGGATTACCGTCGGTGCAGGCTTGGTGCGATCGCCGGCGGATCGACCTGGACACGTGACCGCACCGGCCGTGACGTCACGCGAGGCCGTGACGCCACGCGGCGCCACGCGGCGTCTGGCTGTGGCGGGGGAGGGCGAGGAAGTGGCGCTGGAGCTAGCTCCCTGCACCTCCATCGGCCGGGGAGACGAAACCGCGGCTGGTTGGACGCAGCAAACTCCGGATTGGCTGCCGGCTGAGCCCAGCCCGGCGGCAGACAGCGGGCCGCCGCTCTGCTGAGCGGTCGCGCTGCCGCAGAGGCGGCGTCAGGGAGACCGGCACCCGGCGAGCCCTCGGTCAGCTGCCGGCCGAGCCCAGCCCGGCGGCAGACAGCGGGCCGCCGCTCTGCTGAGCGGTCGCGCTGCCGCAGAGGCGGCGTCAGGGAGACCGGCACCCGGCGAGCCCTCGGTCAGCTGCCGGCCGAGCCCAGCCCGGCGGCAGACAGCGGGCCGCCGCTCTGCTGAGCGGTCGCGCTGCCGCAGAGGCGGCGTCAGGGAGACCGGCACCCGTCGAGCCTTCGGTCAGCTGTCGGCTGAGAACACCGCCCAACCCGCCCGGCGCCCCCCCCCCCCCCCCCCACCGTCGTGGACGGGAGGCGGACCGACATCTCAGCCGTCCACTCAGCACCTGATTGTTTACGCGCGCCTGTTTGCGTGTTTGCCTGTTTGCGGCGTGCCGACCTGTGCGAAGGCGGGCGCGGAGCGACGCCTCGGCGACCGCCGTTTGAGGTGCGGCCTCGGGGCGTTCGTTGGATGGACCTGGCGGTAGCCAGGCGGTCGGCAGAGCGTCGCCACCGGGCACGGGCGCTCTCCGTCCAAACGGCCAGACGGACGAGCGGCGGCATCGCTGCCGCACCGGCCGAGCGATGACGGGCTCGCACCCCGCCCCTCCTTTTACGGCGAGCTGCCGTGCGGCGGCCGATCCGCCCAAGGTCGTAACCCTCGGCCCGCTTCGTAACGACCGTGGTAGCCGGCATGGCGCCGGCCGGGTGTGGACCAGCGAGGCCGCTAGCGCGCCTTTGGAGACGTAGACATCTCCAGCACTTGATTGTGTACCTTCGTGGTTGACGAGCGCGCAGCTCTGCAGAGGACATCACAACGCTGATGGAGCGCAACGCGGCGCGTATCCGGCCCGGCGGTGTGTTGGCCGACGGCGACGGGTGGCGGCGGCTCGCCGGCCCGAGTCGTCGGCGGCGGGTGACCTTGCCGCCGTGCGCGCCGCCCGCCCATATTGATATGCTATCGGCGCGCTGGCGTCGGTCCACCCATCGCGGCTGCCACCTGCGGCGTGCAATTTACCCGCCGACGCTCGCCTAATCCGATAACGCCGCGGCGCGCCGCTTTCGCCGCCGGCCGGAAGTGGCGCGGAGACTGAGCGCGCCATAAGCCGACCGGTGCGTCGGCGAGCGGTGTTTTTTTGCGCCGAAAGCGGCGCTTTGCATAAGTTACGAGCGGCGCGGCCTATCGCGGCCGCGCCGCATACATTATACATGGCCGGATTATCGGCGGCCGGTCGAACGGACGGCCGGTCGCCGCCGTCCCCGGAGAGGACGTCGTCGCGGCGATGGCTGCGGAACGGCCGCAGAACGGCCGTCGCTCGGCCGTCCGTCGCGCTAACGGCAGGCGCGGGCGGCGATCAGCGCCAGCCGGGCTCTCGGATCTGTCGGCTCGTGGCCGGCGCGTGGGTCGGCTGGCGCGCGCCGCCGCCGACCGCCTCCGCGGGGCTGGGCGGCCCGACGGTCAGCGGCGGGAGATATGATTGCGTCACTCCGCTGATGGCGGCTTGGCCGGTCAGGTGGAAGCCGCAAGCGGCTGTGGCGGCTCCCACCGGGTCATCGATCTCGGCAGCAGGTCCTGCGCGGCCAGACCCGACGCCGGCGTGGGGCAAGTTAACCCGGCGCCGGTCTGTGGCGGCGGGACCGGCACTCGTCCCCAGCGGCTCCCGCCGGCCCGCGGCAACTACCGCTAACACCCGTCTCTGGGTATTGACAATGACCCCTGGAAACTTACCTTTATCGGTTCTTCACGACTGACATCTAAGCAGCTGGGCTACGGCAACTGCCACTTACACCCATGGCATCTCGCCACGTCGCTGAGTTACAACTTAGCGAATCGCTGATCATTTTCCTCTCTGATGTCTCACTTTGCGGCCAGTTTGTGACTACTCCCACCCGATTGCTGCCTACCATAGAACGTGATGTGCGTAGTGCCTCCCCACGTTAATGTTGTCTTTGCATCGTTCCTGCCCGCTCTCGCCGCATCCGCGACGCACGCCGTTACTCGCCATCGCCGACGGCCGCTGTCTGCCGCTCGCCAGCTGATGGGACCCTCCGTTGCAGGCTGCGTCGCCCCGTGATGCGCCGGTGACCGCCCGCCGCCGCCATGGCCGAGGCCGACGCGCCCAAGAAGGCGGCGCGCCGGCCGCACTCGACGTTCGCCTACCCGAGCGGCGGCGCGAGCCACTCGCCGCCGCCGCCGGCGCCGCTGCGGCACTCGTACGCGCCCGACACGTACCCGCCGGAAGTGGGCGGCGCGCCGCGCGGTGCTGACCCGTTCGCCGCACTCGACGGCCTCAGCTGCGGCTCGGACACGCGCATGTCCGTGTCGACGGCCTCGTCGCTGCCGTCGGTGCTGAGCGACCTAGCCGAGGCCGAGTTCCCTGACACGCCGTTTGTGTGGACGAGCGACGAGGTCAACTGGCAGGAGCGCTGCCTGGAGCTGGAACTGAGCCTGCAGCGTTTCAAGGAGCAGGCGGGCCGCATCCGCTCCATGCTCAGGGATAAGGTGAGTCACCGGGGATGCGTGAGAAGGGCTGGTTCGGGGTCAGGTGGGGCACCGCTGACGGCCGGCGCAGAGGTGAGGCGCCGTGAGCGTTGCCCATGTGTACCGTCACTTGCCGCAGCCGGGTCGCTGGACCTGTTCCCACCACGGAGGAGCCACGTCAGCTCCTGCTTGCTGTTTGGTGTGTGTCACATCCGCGGCGCGTCGGTGCGCGCAGTGCGCGGTGCCCGCTGCGGCCGGCTCCGGCCAGCGCCCGAGCCCCGGGCCGGGGCCGAGAGCCTCTCGAGTGACGAGGCGCCCCGCCGGGTCGGCCGACGGCCCCGCGGGACGCGCTGTCACTCCGGGCGGCGGCGGCGCGACCGCGACCGCCACACCCGCCAGCATTGACTCGCTAATGCTCGCTCGCACGGTATGGTTTATTTATGGCGTCTGTTTCGGATGAAGACGGTGGCGCTGGCAGTGGGAGGTGCCGCAGACCGTCGGGGCTCCGCGGGAGCTGTCGACCTCGTCAGAACTCCCGCCGGGACCGTCTCGTCCGGTCAGAACACGGCCTGCTGGACAGTGGACAGACCTCTACACAAACACTGCGAGGCGGCGCGGGCGGGCTGATGCCGATCGGGCGTCGAAGCCGAGAACGTCAGCCCGTTATAGCCCGAGGCACGTGCTTCCGGAGTGGAGACCTCGCTTCCGGTGGGCGCTGCCGCGCGGGTGGCATTTCTGGGAAGGTCTCTGCTATTTTGGGCGCGCCCACTCGTCGTCCTTTGAGCGGGCGCCGGGCGTTATCGCACGGCCGGGCCAGGCTGATCCGGTCAAACGTCGAGGGCTCGGACAGGTCGACGCGCGACCGCGTGCACGCAGTCGGCGAGCGTCGGCTAGCACGCGCCCGGCCTGTCGCAACTGTATTTATGATCTAATTAACATTGCTGAGTTATAATCACATTGTCGAAAGTTCACGTCGAATGTGTGTCAGTTTGCGCCCCTCGTGTTTCTGCGTGATGCTTGTGTTGCGCTTTGTGCTTCAGGTTTTCCCATGGGGCCCGGGGGGCTTCAGTTGGGTCACGCAAGGGGTGTAACTCATGCTCACGTCGCCATTGTTCAAAATGGCGTCTTGCTGGGACGGCGAGCTGGTTCTGAAATTGGCATTGAATAACTTTCTTTGACGTTTTATTCTGCACGGAAATTACTGGCTGAAATGTCAGAACAGTGGAAAGTAACGCGGTTAACTATAGCTGTTCGCTACAAGGCCAAAACGCAAGTCTTTGGGGGGGGGGGGGGAGTTAAAGGCCTATAAGCCCACCACAGGCGTCCTTGAGCCGCATTCTCAGCAGGTTGCCGCATCCTCCTTTCGCCAATATATCGTTACTTTCACTGCAAAATGTCAGCAGCGTTGTACCCGAACCCCGGCGCTCTGGAGGGCTAATGCCTCAGCTTCTACACCCTTTTATCACGGCGGTGTGTGAGGCCACTGCTGCCGGCGTCCTGAGCCCAGTCAAAGGCGAACGCATGGCAATGGTTTCGTTCAGGTGCGTTTGCTGCAGCTGAAAGCTTTTGCAATCGCATTTTTTGCTTCGGTCAAAAATGTTCCTCACTGTTTTCGCGCGGATCCGGCCCCCACATGCGAAATTCCCGAATACTAGCCCACGATATATGCAAGCTGATGATGGCTGATGGGTGGGGGCGGAGTCGCATTTGGTGGCTGTCGCGTTGTATTTTCTGATTTCTTGTTCTGTCCGCTGCTGTAAATGTGTGTTGTATCACATACGGTCCCTGGGGGGGGGGGGGGGGGGGGGGGGGGAGGGGAGGGGCGGAGATCTCGCATTCATGGCCGGGCTCTCAGCGTTCGTGCCGAGGATCCCAGCCGACCCGACGCCCCGCAGACGCGCATGAACAGTGACGGGAAACCCTGCACCCGAGCACTGAGTGCCCACCGCTAACGGACAGGCTTCGCCTGTACCCTAAGCTGAGAAAGAGGTGCGAAGCAATGGAGGGGGGGGGGGCTTTGTTTTAAGGATTTGGGCATAATGTGCAAGCGTACTTAGCGTAACGGCGCGCCATCCGACCCTTCTCCTGTTACGGTTTCCGTGCGAAGACGCTATTAGTGTGCCGGCCCCGCTGCAGCGACCGCGTCCCGTGATTTATCCCACTGCAGTTACGCAAGTCAGGGACGGCTGCTACCACGTGATCGGCAGTGTCAGATGACCAGCATTGCAACGTGACCAGATGTGACTCCGGGAGCGCGTGGGTCGGCGCTCCTCCCCGCGTACATCGATAAGCGTGCTGAGACTCCGGGCTCGTACGACAGATGCGGGACCAGGCAGTGTCGGGCAGGTGTGCCCGGCCATGTAGATGGGGCCTGTCGATGGTGCGCGGACAGGGGCGACGCGGCGACTCGGCGCTCCGGCGCAGTGCTCGGCCACACCGCTCCGCCAGCGGGAGCCGGGTGCTGCAGCGGGAGCCTGTCACTGCGGCGGAAGCAGATCACTACGGCCGGAGCCGCCGCGGACGAGGAAGCCGGCCATGTAGCGTGGGGGCACCGGGGTCACGCCACGCCGGCCAAAGCCAACAGGTCGTAACTCAGCGCGACCGGCTGTCGGAAGCGGCGCGCGGCCGCCGCTCGGGCGGCGGCGGGGTCGGCGGCCCCGGCCGGCCTGCGCGTGACAGCCGGCCGGGCTGACGCGCGCCGCTGGTGCCGCGTCGAGCCGCGGCGGCGGGGTGAGCCGACCGCCCGCGGCGCTGCGTCCGAGCTGCGGCGCGCCCGGCTCGCTGCGTCGCCTCTTCGCCTCCGGGGCTGCGCCTGGCCGACGGGTTTCCGTGCTGTGGCGAGCCGACGGCTCGCTGACGGCGTGCTGTATGCCGTGTTTCGCCGGCGACGCTGCGTCACCGTCGCCGCATCCGTGATGTCACCGGTGACGTGACCGTGGGGCGCGTGGGATCAACGGCTGGCAGTAGCGGCCCGCCGGAACACAGCAGCTGTTTGTTCATTCAGAGCGACAGTGGGCCGGGCGGGCTCCGCGGCTGCGGCCCGGGCTGCCGGCGGCCAGCCGCGGCGCTCCGTGGAGGGGCCGCTTTGAAGCGGTGACCACCGGCTGGTCGGGCCGCGCCCGGGAGGAGGGCTGCGCCAGCACCTCGCTGATCAAAGGAGCCGCGGAGCGGTGTGGAGCTGAGCCTCAGGGCCCAGTGCCTGCCGGCCGGCTAGCAGTGGTAGCGTGACCTGCCGTGTAGTGCGGCCTCGCTTATCCGGTTTTCAGGAAACTGTATGTGTTTTTGCACGAAGAGTTTCCGAACATTTTACAAACTTCCCTGTGTTCCCTGTTGCGATGGAACAGCCTGAAGAGATTGGGTTCAGGAAATGCTTCGTGACATTTTACCGCACACCGAACTTTTCACCTTGTTCGTTTTGTTTACATCACGGGTAACATTGCCTGGGCTTTGATGCTCGCCAGCAGAGGCGCGGCCAAGGGAGAGCCCGGTGAGCCCGGCCCCCTGCTTAGGCCCGGATTTTGCGTTTTTCTCCATAAATGGCTGCCGACAGAGAGTAAGAAAAAGACGTAGTACGTACTTACCTAGCTCTGACCCATTTTCATATGGAAATTATGGTTGTGCCCCCGCTGTCCATGCTGTCCAGGGTATTTAGACCGCTACGCGTTCCCGGCGAAGACCACCTCGTGGTTCCCGTCAGCGTTGACAGATGGCAGCACCGTCGTCCCTCTCGTCGACCGCGCCTTTGTGTTTGCCGACGGCGGGGTTTTTGTGCCGGCGGCCGACTTGTGTCGTCATTAGCTCGACACGGAGCCGGCTTAGGCGAGCAAGCGCCGTCCGATTACCGCAGGGGCGGCGTCCGAGCAGAGGGGCGCCGCCGCGGGGCCGCCTGCCGCGAGCCGTGGAAGGCTGCTGGCTCGGCTACCGCGGCCGCCAGCGCTGACGGCCGAGCGCCGGCAGCCCTGCTGTGGAGGGGGTGGCCGCCGAATACGGCGGTGAATCAGAGCGGGCAGGGCTGGCGGTGACAGCGCCGCCCGGTCGCGCGGCGCCGCTCACGGCGTTTGTGTGGGGTGGAGGAGGGGGAGGGGGCGTCTCGGACTGCGCCCTGTTCTGATGTGCTGCTGGCCTGGCCAGGGGTTTCCGAGTGTGCTTAGCCTGGCTGTGCTAAGGCCGCATTGCCACGGTGCTGCCTGCGGTGCTGGTGCAGGTGCCGCGCCGTGAACTGCGAACGGTGGCGTTAACATCTCGAGATAGTTGTTGGGGAGGTAGCTGGAAGCAAAACCCACTTCAATGTGTAACTGTCACTGCAAAATTTGGCACGGAGACGTAGACTTTGATGCGTTAGTGTAATGTGTGTGTACACACTGACAGTGGAACGGTTGGTTACGTACTTATTTCACTCCTTTTGTAGCTATAGCCTGATGTCCAGTCGTTTCTTGGAAAAAAGTTACTCGCTTCATGGCTATCATGCTCTCCGTTGTCGTGCGGCCCACGTATTGGTCGCCTGTCTGCAGACTCCTCAAGAAACATCTTTGTTTTCTCTCCACCGTTGTCAGTTCCCGGAAACACAAGCCCCTCGCAGACCCCATTTTCAGTTCCCGGTATCAGGTCGCCCGCCTCTGCTGGGCCGGCCGCCGATTCCCGGTATTCCGGCACCCCAGTGCCGGCCTCGCTCCGTGGCCCGCCGTCTCGACACCCCAGTGCCGGCCTCGCTCCGCGGCTGGCCGTCTCGACACCCCAGTGCCGGCCTCGCTCCGCGGCCGGCCGTCTCGACACCCCAGTGCCGGCCTCACTCCCCGGCCGGCCGTCTCGACACCCCAGTGCCGGCCTCGCTCCGTCTCGACACCCCAGTGCCGGCCTCACTCCCCGGCCGGCCGTCTCGACACCCCAGTGCCGGCCTCACTCCCCGGCCGGCCGTCTCGACACCCCAGTGCCGGCCTCGCTCCGCGGCCGGCCGTCTCGACACCCCAGTGCCGGCCTCGCACCGCGGCTGGCCGTCTCGACACCCCAGTGCCCTCCTCGCT